TTTACTGTAAGGAAATAAATTTCTCTTTGTTAAAGCCATCCACTTGTGGAATTTCTGTTGTAGCAGCACTAGATGACTAAGACAAGCTCCTTCATGCCTCCTGTTCACCAAGGGGCGAGCGCTGTAAAGAATCTGGGGCACATCCTCCCAAGCTGTCAGAGCACGATCAGGGGCCCGGTCAGCCTCTGCACACGTGTACACGTAAGCATAGTTAGGTGGGATACACACTTTTTACAAAAACGCAGCCATACTGGTCATGTCATTTTACGACTTGCTTTGTTCCACACTTAATACCCATGAGCCTGGTTACATGGCAGGGTGGATGGTTGGCTTCTGTCCAGAACATATATGTGCAGATCCCGGTCTGATCCGCAGGCCTGGGCTACCTCACCTGATCCACACACAGCTTCTGAAGCGAGCCCTCTCAGGACCCACATCTGACAGACACAAGGTTGGCCGCGGCCCAAGGCTAATCAATCAGCTAGGTGCCCAGGCCTCTGGGTCTGAGCCCTGTCCTTGATCTCATTCGTTCTAATCCTTGCCTTGTGGCCCACGGCCAGCACTGGGCACTGGGTATCATCCTTGTTTTTTAGATGAAAGGCATTTAAAAACACTGCCTTTCATCATATTTTGCATTTAAGTTAAATTGGGGAGTTCATTTTTTTCACACGGACTCACGTATGACTTACGTATTAAGGTTATTTAAAAGGCTGTATTTTCTTTCAAAAATAATACAAGCTGATGTATTATTTTTAATGATGAAAACATTGCATATGGCATGAGTTTCCCCACCCGTGCCCACACACAGACACTGTCATGCCCTTAGGATCACATGACACAAACTTTTTGTTTTGCAATAATTATAGATTCACAAAAAGTTGCAAAAATAGTACAGAGTGGTGGCATGTACTCTTCACCCAGTTTCCCCCAATGGTAACACCTTATGTGACTATGGTACAATGTCATAACCAAAAAACTGACATTGATACAATGTGTCGAGTTCTCTGCCATTTTATCACATGGAGCCACCACCGCAATCAGGATACAGAGCTGCTCATTACTACAAAGAGCTCCCCTCTGCTGCCCCTGTAGACTCATACCCCTTCTCTCCCCACCACCATCCCTAGCCCCTGCAACCTGCTCTCCATCTCAATATAATATTGTCACTTGGAGAACGTTATATAAATGGAATCATACAATATGTAACTTTCTGAGATTGGCTTTTTTTCACTCAGCATGAGGGTTTTTAGTAGCTGGTGGAACAAATGCCACTTAGATTTTTCTTCTTTTTTGGAATTTTCTTGCAATTAAGCATATTCTACTTTCAAAAAAAAAAAACTTATGGAAATATTCAAACACTTAAAAGTAGAATAGTACAATGAGTACTCCTCTACCCATCTCCCAGCTTTCATCAATATTTTGTCACCTTGTTTTGTCTATTTTCCTTTTTCTTTTTTTTCAGTATTTTAAAGCAAATCCTAAACATCGTGTAATTTCATCCTTATATACTGCCACATGTAATCTGTCAGATAAGGATTTTTTTTAGACAACCACAATAGCATTATCACACCTAAGAACATAAACAGTGATTATTCTCATCTAATACCCAATCTGATGATTTCAAGCACGGCTGAGCACAGGGCCACGCTGTCTTTGGTTTGTATGTCTCAAGTCTCTTTGTAACAGCGTCCTCCTTTTTTCCATGCCATTTATTTGTTGAAGAAACTGGCTCACTTTTTTAACAGAATTTCCAACATTCTGGCTTATTGCAAACTGTCTCACCCTTCATACCACTGTGTCCTAGTCCCTCCCTGGCCACCCTCCTCGCCTGCCCCCACACCCGTGTGCCCACAAACTCACATCCCAGCTGAAGCCTCTTCCCACATTATGCTCCAGTCTGGGGAATGTTGAAGGGATCACAGTGGCACCAGAGCATGGCCAGCCCTCCAAGATCACAGCCATCAAAAAACAGGCTCTGTATCTGTTTCCTGCTGGTTTCCTCCTCACCAGGGGTGGATTACCCAGTAAGCAAGGTATGCACGTGCTTAATTGTGTTTACTTACTAATCTGTAGTGCACAATTTCACTTGTTTTTCACCACATCTTTGCTTACTGAGTAATCAGTCCCCGCTCCTGACATTGGCTATGCATTGTCATCTGAGAACTTATCTAAACTTTTTTGAACTGACAGATTTCTGGATATTTGCCTACTATATTCTAAAACCCCTTGTTGTTAGGACATGTCCATACTACTAGTACCCCATCATGTAGGTCTTAGAAATAGGTTCCCAAACTGTGGGAAATTTGAGCCTCTGGTTCTGGCCCCTCCTGGTGTACCCTACCTTCAACTTCAGATGAAGCAGAAGGCCACTGGCATCTGGATGTCCCCTTCCCCAGGTGGGGGGTCTCTGCAGACCTACGGATGCTGTCTCGAGGCTCCGTATCTGCCTGCCTGGCCTCCAGGGACGGTCTCTCCGGCGCCTTCTCCTTAGACTTGGAAACAGAATAGGCAGGCCCCTTCTTTTGCTCCTCACCTGAAATATACAGGTAATTAGACTATAGTTTACTGAGCCTACGACAATGGGTCCCATGCTTCAGTTGCCTGCCTGGGTCCAAAATGAAATACGATTGCTTGAAACACTCGGCTTATTCTGTGTCCTTAAACAACATGGGTATTTTCCATGAGTTTTTGGATAAAAAGGCACTTAATTTGTCAACACAAGAGAGGACTTTGAGAATAGTCAATGCTTGTATCAGACTGGGAGTTGGCCTCTGGGGCTCCTGGTACTCATCTATAGTGACCACCTTTAGCTCCTGGCACCTGCAGAGGCTGTCTTAACGTGTTTGGACCTCGCCAAGTGCCACCTGTGTACAGGGCGGAACGTGTGTACGGTACGGCCACCTGTTTACGGTGAGGAACCTTATGTACAGTGCGTACGGTGCGACTGCGGCAGGAGGCACCGCGGACCGCGGAAGGGACACGGGCCGGCGGGTCCCAGGCCCGTTACCTTTCCTGATTTGGTGTTTGCTTTTGAAAAGTCCCATAAGTGAGCCCGCAGCTCCTGCGCCTTCACTTCCGCTCCGCGCCGGCGCCAACTCTTTGTGACTCACAAGGGGGACTCTCCTTCCGGGGTGGGAAGAGGGCGCAGGCGCGGGACGCAGGTCACCACAGCAACTGCCCTCCCTCGGGGCCCGCCCCTGAGCGTGCCCTCTGGTGGCCTGCAGGGAACCGCCCGCCGATGTGACGGACCGCTCTCCTCTCGCGTAACGACGCCGTGCGAACGGAAGCGGAAAGGCGGCCCCGGAAGTACCCGCTGGGCGGAGTCCTCGGTCCGGTATGAAGTAGAATTATCTGAAATCTCTGGACCGCCGTCTTCGTGAACTCCACCGCCCCCGCCTGTCGGAGGTGCGCTGCCGCCCATCACCGAAAATGGACGGTAAGAGCCCACCGCGGCCGGGGGGGGTGGGCCGGGGAGCGGTGCCTCCCCTCCCACGGTTGAGAAGGCCCGACCTGCCCACCTTGCGGCCGTGGGCCGGGGCGGGGCTCAGGCGGCCATCGGAACGCCAGACCCTGGCCTCTTCCCCCTGGCCTCGATCTCGGCCCCTTCCACCGACCCCAGCCTCGACCCCGTCCCCCGTCCCTGTCCCCCAGATCTCCTCGACGTCCGGGTGCCCCGCCCCGCGAGGTCGAGCAACGGGGACGTGCGGTCATGCCCCGCGGGCCTTTGGAGCCCGGGAATGTCGGGTCAGAGGGCAGCAGAGGAAGGACACTGGTGCAGCCGGCCTCCCTTACTATCCTCAGTAAGAGTGGTAAAAAGAGTTTAGATGAAAAGCTCTCACTACGGGCCAGGCACAGTTGTAAGCGGCCTAGCTCACCACAGCCTTCCAGAGAGGGGCTGTGCACCCCCATTCTGCACATGAGGAAAGAGATGAAGAGGGAGTCAGTGACGGGCCCATGCCCCAGACAGCCTGGCTTCGAGTCCGTATTCTCCGCTGGCCGCCCAACAGCACCACCTGGTCCACTTTGCCCCCTCTGTGCTCAGGGATTGGGTGGTGGCAGGAGAGGTGCCAAAGAGTAGGAAGAATCAGTTATAAAATGAAGGTGCCTGTGTTTGCTAAAATGCTTACGGGCTGATGTGATTTTGAAAAATATTTTGTGAAATGTAAAAAGCTACCCAACCTTGTCATTGTCATCAGGATTTCATCCGAATTGCCCCCAGAGAGAAGAGGAAAGGTATCATCCAACTCTCCTATCCCTTCAAGAAAAGAAATATGTCTGTGGGGTTTTTGCTCCAAAGTTCACTCGACTCTTGAAGAAGCTTGCCTTTAACCCATATCCATTTTCTCCAGGATTAGGTTTCACCTTAATTAGAGCCAAGTACAGCTGCTCAGACTTAGAGGGGAAAGCTGAGGCTGGGAGGGAAGATGATTGGACTTTGGCCTTGACCAGAGCTTATGTGAACCCTTACTGGGCTCTCAGCTGGGAACCACGATTTGCATTAGTAAACACCCAGAACCCTCATTCTGATTTTCATTTCTTTCTTCTGGCTAGTGTGAAAAATAAACCCTTTCAAGAGTCAGGTGTCCACAACAACAAAATAAATAAAATTTAGGAAAAAACAAAGTAGGTGTCCCTTACTCTCCAAAGTCAGGAATTGAGTACATTGAGACCAGTTTTCAAATGAATTAAAACCTGCCTTGTTCTTGAGTTTGGTGAGTGAGTAGCAAGAGTTCAGATATTAAGGAATTTATCCAAAAGTACGCACAAGTCTCTTTGGTTCTAAGTCTGGACAGGGAGGAGCACCTGAGCTTGTGCCATCGAAGTGTCCTCTGCCCCCGGGAGGGCCACTGTGATGGCAGGAAAGTCACCTTCCTGCTGTTTTAGCCGTTTACCTTTGGGAAGAAAAAGCATAAAGAATGGACTGTGGAGGGCTGAACTTTACTAAGTTGGGCAGAATCCCAAGGGTCCTTTGTAAAGTAGCCTTGACTGGGAGAGTGTGATATTGGCCAAGCGCTGCATCTGTTCCCTTGCTTGCCCTCAAATGGTCCTTTGAGATAGGCTGGTGCCATCCTTGTGTGACAGGTAAGGAAACGGAGGTTCAAGGGGTCCTTACTTGGCCAGTCGTCCTACATGCTTGGCTGGTCCCTGGAGGCTTGGTCACCCTGACCGATGTCTCTGCCCTGCTCTCAGTCCCAAGTGTCTGAAGGGCCACAGCGACTCTCCTGCAGAAGTCTCCTCATCACATTCCCAAACCCTCATATGCTTCCTCTCTTGTTGCAGATACCCTGTTCCAGTTGAAGGTACGTACTGAATGACTACTCCCCCAGTTTTGTCCTGTGGCGATGGGCAAGGATGAGCCGTGTGAGTCACACCACCCTGAGCTCCAGGACGCAGAGCAGAGGACAGCCTGGCAGCTGGGTGACCCACACCATGCTCGCTCAGATGCTGACAGTCTCAGAGGGGTTGGCAAGCTGGCTTGATGACTATTTTCTGTCTCAGACGCTTGAAAGCACATCCCTTAGGCAGGCTTATCTATGAAGGAGCAAGTGCCTTATCTCTAAGAAACACAAATTGGGCCACTAGGCCTTCAAAAGCTGGCCTCAAATCCTGCATAGTCACACTTGAAGGAGAGCCTTCTAGATAGTGAACGCTCCCTCCACTTTGTGCTGGGGTTTTCAGATTTTTAATTAACCCTGGGCAAGTGTCTTCCTTGGATCCCTAGATTTCCCCAGTTCATCATCCACATTCAACTTTTATCTGGTCTTATCACTAGTTTGGAGAGCCTGGGGAGGATTGGTGGACACAGCAATGGAATGTGGTTTGAGTGTTGTGTTAGGTGCTGGGGGTGGGCACTGGGGCTGGAGCAGGCCGACCAGAGGGGTAGGGCTGCTCCCTGGGGGTCAGGGGTTGTATATTGCAGGCCACAGGGACACTCTCAGCAGGGGCCAAGCTTGGGTGACTCTCGGTCCCTGGATGTCACGCCTCCATTTCTGACCACCTGAGCATCCTTTCCCCTGCTCCTTCAAATGAGGGCCGGTTTTGTGGGGCCCTGGTGTGCTATGCTGACTCAGCCTGGGCTGGAGCTGTCGCTAGTACAAATGATGAATGGAATTTTTAATTTTGTTGTTGTCGTTAGGTACCCTCAAGTCAGTTCTGACTCCTGGCGACCCTGTGTATAACAGAATGAAACACTGCCCGGTCCTGCACCATACTCATAATCATTGTTATGCTTGAGCCCATTCTTGCAGCCACTGTGTCAGTCCATCTCACTGAAGGTCTTCCTCTTTTTCAATGACCCTCTACCAAGCACGATGTCCTTTTCCAGGGACTAGTGGCTCCTGATAACATCTCCAAAGTATGTGAGACAAACTCTTGCCATCCTTGCTTCTAAGGAGCTTTCTGGCTATACTTCTTCTAAGACAAATTTGTTTATTTGTCTGGTAGTCCATGGTATATTCAGTATTCTTTGCTAACACCATAATTCAAAGGTGTCAATTTTTTTTTGGTCTTCTTTATTCATTGTCCAACTTTCCAGTGCATTTGAGGTGATTGAAAACACCATGGCTTGGGTCAGGTGCACCTTAGTCCTCAAAGTGACATCTTCACTTTTTAACACTTCAAAGAGGTCTTTTGCAGCAGATTTGCCCAGTGCAATGCATTGTTTGATTTCTTGACTGCTGCTTCCACGGGTGTTGATTGTGGATCCAAGTAAAATGAAATCCTCGACAACGTCAGTGTTTTCTGTGTTTATCATGAAGTTGTGTATTGGTCCAGGTGTGAGAATTTTTGTTTTCTTTATGTTAAGGTGTTATCCATACTGAAGGGTGTAGTTTTTTGATCTTCATCAATAAGTGCTTCAAGTCCTCTTCAGTTTCAACAAGCAAGGTTGTGTCATTTGCACATCACAGGTTGTTTATGAGTCTTCCTCCAATCCTGATGCCGCATTCTTCATATAGTCCAGCTTAGATTATTTGCTCAGCATACAGATTGAATAAATATGGCGAACGTATACAACCCTGATGCACACTTTTCTTAATTTTAAACCACGCAGTATTCCCTTGTTCTATAAGGATGAGTGTCTCTTGGTCTATGTACAGGTTCTGCATGAGCACAATTAAGTGCTGGAATTCCCATTCTTTGTAATGTCAATCATAATTTGTTATGATCCACACAGTCAAATGCCTTTGCATAGTCAGTAAAACAAAGGTAAATGTTTTTCTGGTATTCTCTGCTTTCAGCCAGGATCCATCTGACATCAGCAATGATATCCCTTGTTCCCCGTCCCCTTCTGAATCTGGCTTAAATTTCTGGCAGTTCCCTGTTGATGTACTGCTCCAACCATTTTTGAATTATCTTTGGCAAAATTTTACTTGTGTATAATAGTAATGATATTGTTTGATAATTTCTGCATTCTCTTTAGTCACCTTTCTTTGAAATGGGCATAAAGATGGATCTCTTCCAGTCAGTTGGCCAGGTAGCTGTCTTCCACATTTCGTGGCATAAACAAGTGAGCACTTCCAGCACAGCATCCATTTGTTGAAACATCTCAGTTGGTATTCCATCAATTTCTGGAGCCTTGTTTTTTGCCAATTCCTTCAGTACAGCTTTGACTTCTGCCTTCAGTACCATCCATTACTGATCATGTGTTACCTCCTGAAATGGTTGAGTGTCAGCCAGTTCTTTTTGGTACAGTGACTGTGTGTATTCCTTCTATTTTCTTTTCATTTTTCCTGGGTTGTTCAGTATTTTCCCTATAGAATTCTTCAGTATTGCAACTGTAGGCTTGAATTTTCTCTTCAGTTCTTTCAGCTTGAGAAACGCCAAGCATGTTTTTCTAACTCTAGGTTTTTGCACATTTCATTGTAATACTTTGCTTTGTTTTTTTTGAACCACCCTTTAAAATCTGTTGTTTAGCTCTTTTATTTCATCATTTTTTCCTTTCACTGTAGCTACTCTACGTTCAACAGCAAGTTTCAGAGTCACTTCTGACATCCATTTTGGTCTTTTTTTTCTTTCCTGTCTTGTTTTCTTTATGTATAGTGTTCTTGATGTCATTCCACAATTCATCTGGTCGTAGGTCATTAGTGTTTAATGAGTCAAGTCTATTCTTGAGATGGTCTCTAAATTCAGGTGGAATATACCTAAGGTCATACTTTGGCTCTCATGGACTTGTTCTAATTATCTTCAGCTTCAGCTTGAACTTGCATGTGAGCAGTTGATAGTCTGTTTCACATGTGGCCCCTGGCCGTGTTTTGACTGATGATATTGAGCTTTCCCGTTGTTTCTTTAAATAGCCACATGTGTATGCTTAGAGAGTTTGGAGGAAGAAAGAAAAGGCTCGGGTGTAGCAGACACTGAAAAATCTCTGGTGAGTTTGACAATCAGGAGTTTGTGGATGGTTTTAGTGAGCACAGTCTGAGCCAACACAGCACTGGGAAGTGTTCATTCTCCCAGAGGAGAGGAAGCAGGCGGGACACGTTTGCCTGAGGGGCTGTGATGCACCTAGTGAGTAAGGCAACACTTCTAACCTCAGGGATCCTGGGATTGCCAAGGTACCACATGAGCCAGACGCAGCTCCTTTCTGGTGGCCGCCCGGCGTGGAGAGCTCAGGGTGCCACCTGGCCGAGTGTGGCGTGCACAGTGGGCTATGAGAATCATGCTTCCAGGGTCAGTTCTGTAGCCTGCACAGCATCTTGAATCCTTGTTTCATGAGGTGAAAACCCACCTATCCATAAGCAGACGTTGGGAATAGCATGCATTAAGATTTTGAGGATGTTTGTGGGCAGGACAGACACTTTAGAAAACTCTTCCTGCCCACTTTCCCAAGATAGCCTCAGAGCCCCGGGCGTGTTTCTTTCATGACTCCCTTAGTGTCCTGACCTCCCTGTGCATGATGAGCCCCTAAGGGCATCTGTGAGGTGACACTGCAGTTCCTGGCCCCTGGGCTCTGCCTCTAACCAGTGTCCATCCTCAGTTCACAGCAAAGCAGCTGGAGAAGCTGGCCAAGAAGGCAGAGAAGGACTCCAAGGCTGAGCAAGCCAAAGTGAAGAAGGTGAGGCTGCTGTGGATGGATTATCTGCAAGACCTCGCACTCCTGCATCCTGTGCACTGTCCCTGGAGGCGGGTGCTGTCAGGCCTCTCTGAGCACTCTGCCTCACTGGCGAAGTCACTCCTGGGGCATTGGGTTTGGTAACCACACGCCTGAACTCAGGCTCCTGGAGTAGAGGGGCTGGTACCCTAGTGCTTCCTCCTCCCTGTCCTGAGGCCTCACTCCTCTGGGGTTTCTGCGCCACACACTTTGTGTTGTGCAGTGCCATCCTCAGCCCTGTGACTGTGTTGGGAGAGGCAGAGGCAGCCAGGGGCAAGATGAGGTGGGCAGGCCTGGAGGGATGGATAGTCTCTGCAGCTGGTCTAGGTGCTATCTCTGCCCGTGGACCTGGTGCCACACTTTGGGAGGCGTCTGTGTTTTCAGGAAGCTCACAGCATTTCGGACGAGCCCACCTACACAGGATGTGGAGGGAGGGTCCCACACATTGCCAGGTACCCTGGCAGTCAGGACCAGCCACCATGGGAGGGAGCAGCATACCTGCAGACCACCTGCTCCCTCCCAGCTGTCATTTCCCCAAATTCCAGGCCCTTCAGCAGAAAAATGTGGAGTGTGCACGTGTGTATGCTGAAAACGCCATCCGTAAGAAGAATGAGGGAGTGAACTGTCTGCGCATGGCCTCCCGTGTGGACGCTGTGGCCTCCAAGGTCCAGACAGCCATGACCATGAAGGGGGTGAGTGGCTCAGCCTGGCCACGCACAGATTCCGTGACCAGAACAGGGCAGGGCTGTCAGCAAATTGGGTAGCTCCAGGGCCGGGGGAGGCTCGTGGGCCCCATGTGTGGGGCAGGAAGGAATCCTGTCGGACCCTTTGGTCTCTGTGGGGTGCACAGTGTGCAAGCCTTTCCTGCACGGCCACAGGGACTGGGCGTGTTGCCCCCAGGGCCCAGAGCTTGGCTGCATTCTGCACCTCTAGTCTCGGGCCCTCGAGCAGCACCTGCTCAGCCCAGGCTGAGTGTTCTGGAGGGGGAACTGCCCGCCTGGGTCGGAGTGGTTTCTCCATCAGAGGAAATGGAAACGCATGGGGCTCAAGAGCCAGAGAGCCCTGCCTAGCGTTGCTGCCTGTTACGTGGATTGAATTATGTCCCTTAAAAATATATGTTGTAAATCCTAATCTTTATGCTTTTAGTTATAATCCCATTTGGGAGTGGATCATCTTTATGTTAATGAGGTCAGATCAGTGTAGAGTGTATCTTGAGTCAGTCTCTGTTGAGATATAAAAGAGATTAAACAAGCCAGCAAAGAGAGCCAGGGTAAAGTAGATGGCAAGACACATGGAGATCTCCAAGGAACCAGGAAGCAGAAGCTGAAGAGGCAAGGACCTTCCTCCATATCTAACAGAGAGAGGAAGCTTTCCCCTCGAGCTGTCACGCTGAATTCGGATTTCTAGCCTCCTAAACTGTGAGAAAATCAGTTTCTTTTGTTAAATCTATTCACTTGTCTTTCTGTTGTAGCAGCACTAGATAACTAAGACAGAATTTGGTACTGAGAAGTGGGGGTGCTGTTGTAACATACCTAAAATGTGAAGTGGTTTTGGAATTGGGTAATGGGTAGAGGCTGGAAGAGTTTTAAGGTGCCTAATAGTAAAAGCTGAGATTGCCTTGAAGAGACTGTTGATAGAATTGCTGACGTCAAAGGCAATTCTGGTGAGGGCTCAGAAAGAAATGAGAAGAGTAATAGAGAAAGTCTGTATCGTCTTAGACAACATATATGGCGTCAGCAAGAGAATGTTGCTAGAGGTGTGGTCGTAATATGTGCTTCTGTGATGCTTTAAAAGAAAATGGTGAACGTGATTGGACAGTGGAGGAAGGGTGATACTTTGTATGCAGTGCAAAGAACTTGTGTGAATTATGTTCGAATGTTTGGTGGAAGATAGAACTTGTAAGAGAGGAACTTGGATACCTGGTTGAGATTTTTAAGCAAGATCTTAAAGGGGCTGTGTCGTTTCTTCTTGCTACTTATAGTAAAATGTGAGAGGAAAGAGATGGACTTAAAAATAAACTATGCAAAATAAAAATAGAACTTAGATTTGGGAAATTCTGTTGTATAAACTAAGGACACGTGTCTTAGAATGTTCACCAAGGATGTGGTTACACAATCTTTGTTAAAGAGATTAAGCCTGTGACTGATAAATCTAACCAACTACCACAGCAGAAAACCCATCAGCTTAGACTGAAGGGAACAGAGAAAGAAAGAAAAGAACGCTGTCTGCCTTTTGGAATTCTATAGGCAGGAAAAAGGCCAAAGGAACTACATCTTTTGTCCTCCAAGGAAAGAAAAGGACCATCCCTGGAGCAGCTCAGATATCAGTAGAATTGTTGGAAGGAGCACGAGAAGCAGGGCCTTCTCGGTTTCAAAGGGTGGGGGCTGTGGTCTCCTGGATCTCAAAGGGTGGGGCCATAGCCTCCTAGGTTTCAAAGAGTCAAATCTTTGCCAGCTCAGAATGTGGGGCTGCCATTAAGGTGTGCCAGAGGCATGGGGCCCCTGCTCAAAGAAGCTGAGGGGACAGGGCTGCCAAGGGGCAGAAGAATGGGGCCTGCCAGGGCCGAGGGGGTGGGGTTACAGCTCAGATGGACTAGGACAATGGGGCTTCCCAAAGCTGAGGGAGCACAGTTGCCATTGCAGAGGGCCTGGAAGGCAAAGCTGAAGCCCAGAGCCAAGGACCTCCACCCAGAATCCAGAGAACATGGCCAACACCAAGAGTCTGGAGGGCAAGGCTATTGCCCAGATGGTCTCAGAGAACAGAGAATTATTTTCAGGCCTGGGAGCTAATGTAATTTGTTCTGCTGGGTTTTGTACTTGCTTGGTGCCTGTTATCCCTTCTTTCCTTCCAATTTCTTCCATTTGTAGTGGAAGTGTCTACCTTGTACATGTTCTACCATTGTACTTTGGAAACAGATAACTTGTAGTCTAGATTTCACAGGTTCACAGATGAAGAGAATTTTGCCCCAGTATGGAATACACCTAAAGAAAGTCTCACCAATATTTGATTTAGATGATTCAGAAAATGAGATTCTGGACTTGGAATTGATTTAAGACTTTTGCAATGATCTGATGGGGTGAATGTGTTTTGCGTGTTCCAAGGACATGAAATTGTGGGGGCCAAAGGGTGAAATTTTATGGATTGAATTGTGTCCCCCGAAAATATGTGCCTGAGATGCTTTCTGCCTCTGACCCACTCCTCTGTCCCAGGTGACTAAGAACATGGCCCAGGTCACCAAGGCCCTGGACAAGGCCCTGAGTGCCATGGACCTGCAGAAGGTTTCTGCAGTGATGGACAAGTTTGAACAGCAGGTTCAGAACCTGGATGTGCATACATCGGTATGTTCCACTGGTCTTGGCGGAAAGCCCAGGGGTGTGAGAGGTGTGGGCCGCCCAGTGCATGTGCTCAACGCTGCATTCACCAAGCCCTTCTGTCCTGGTTCCTGGCCAGGCTGCCTCATGCCCCATCTTCCTCAGAGGTCCAGGCAGTGAGCATGTGCATGCAGTGTGGATGTTATTGCCCAGAGGGTTGGGAAAATGGGACAGAGCATTCTAGAGAGATGGTCGCGTGGGCCGTGTGGTGGAGAGGGTGGAGGAGGTGCCCCAGGCGGGCAACCTTGTCGGAGTGCCCACATCTGCCCCTGCAGGTTATGGAGGACTCCATGAGTTCAGCCACCACGCTGACCACGCCGCAGGAGCAGGTGGACAGCCTCATCATGCAGATTGCTGAGGAGAACGGCCTGGAAGTCCTGGACCAGCTCAGCCAGCTGCCCGAGGGCGCCGCTGCCGTGGGTGAAAGCTCTGTGCGTAGCCAGGAGGACCAGCTGTCGCGCAGGTGTGTGGCCCGCCTGCTGCCCACCATGTCAGGGTGGGATAGACCTGGACGCTCTGTGGTGGAAGAGAAGGCCATGGGTTGGGGTTTTGGGAGAAGGCCTTGTGAGGGGAGGGCTTTGAACTGAAGAGTGCCATCCTTCCCAGAGCCCCATCTGACTCAACTCACCGCCCCTCGTGTCTCCAGGCCTAGAGAGCCTGTCATGCTGGTTTTCTGCTTCCCGCCTTCTCCTGACTCAGGTCTGCACACACTCACTACTTCTTTTCATGGAGTCACAGTGACGAGACCCAGCCTCTCACCTGAGTAATCTCAGGGCAGCCTAGGAAAGCTGCATGTTAGCAGCAAAGCGACCATTGCCCACATGGCTCCCAGCAGCCCAGCGCCTGCTGGGTCGAGTCCCTGCTCTCCCCCAACAGGCCCTGCTCTTGCCTTTTCCAGGTTGGCCGCCTTGAGAAATTAGCCGAGCCCAGCTGTGGACGGCCTCCTGCCCCGGACAGCCCCTGCATCTTCCTTTCTGCTGACTGCAGCGGCCAGTGCCTCTGAGCTCCTCATACCTGCCCAGTCCAGTGGCTTGGGAGTGTCGCTGTCTCAGATCTGGTGGTGGGTCTGTGCTGATGTGAGTTTACACAAACTTCTGTGGGTGATTGCTGTGACTTAGACTGACCACAGCCTTCTCAAGGTTGTGCCATCACCCCCTGGCCACAGGTGCAGGCATGCTGTTGCAGGCCAGGGCACTCTGTCCAGCAACATACCTCGCCTGCATGGTGGCACAGCTCCCTCCTCAGTGGGCAGGAGGCGCCAAGGAGACCCAGCCGCATGCACAGACAGCCCCTGGCAGGTGTGGGTATTCCCAAGTGCCACCAAACACCCTTTCTGGTGGCCTTTGTAGACGGAGTCCTCTCTCCTACCACCATTCCAGGGAGAGGGTCTTAGGTCAAACAAGACTTCAGGCCGCCCAGTTCATGGGGCAGAGCAGCCTAGACTGCAGTCCAGGTGTATGCACCGGGCCTCGTCCATGGTGCACTGTGCCTCCTCAGGCCGGCCCCTCAGCAAGGGTCGTAGGGCCGATTCATGTCCTCTGGGCAGCCTGTGCCCGCCGCCATGACTGTCCCATGAGTGTGCATGTGTATGTGTGTATGAGACCCTTTGGGCACAGGCATGACCTTTGTTTCCCCCATGCTTGGGCGGTGCCTGTTATCCCACAGGGTCTCCCTCTCCTGTCACTGTAAATATAGGGTGCCCCCTCCTAACTCCTCCTGCCTTCTCAGCTCTTGTCTGTCTGTCCTTTAGAAACCAAGTATGGCTCATGAAGGTTCTTGGGGGAATGCGGCCCTTGGCCACAGCCACAGGGACGCCCTGTTTGCCACAGCCAAGAAGCCAGCACAGACTGGCCACGAGGGTTTTGGGCCCAGGCTGCTGTTTCTGTTTTTTCTGTTTCTTGAAGTTTACTTCATGTCTTGAAGCTTCCAGGATTTTTTGTTTGTATTTTTGCCAAAACAGAAGAGCAGGTGGCAGATGGGGAGCTTGGGTCCCAGCTGTACCCATGTGAGCCATGAGGCTTCATGATTGTACCTGGGCAGGTTTGGCCCACCTGCAGCTGAACCCTCGGGACCAGCTCCTTCCAGAGGCCTACTGTCCGGCTCTCCTGCCACACACCTCTGTACAGACACACCAGAAGCCTTCCCCTGACTTACTGTCGGATTCTTTCCTGGATGGGGTGCCCAGTGGCTGTGCAGGAGTTGGATGTTGGGGGAACATGAGCGGTTCCTTGGGGTGTGTCGGGGAGAGATGTAGGCCCTATGCAGGTGGGTCATCCTTATGAGGGACGAGATGGCGTCCAGCTCCACCTCTGAGGCGTGAGGTGCCCATTTTGGTCATCAAAGAGGAGTGGCTCGTTTGCCCCTTTTAGTTTTCTAAAGTCAGTGCTGTCATTTCCTAAAATGCTGTAAGTAAATGGGTCAGTCCCTGAACACCTGCTTTGGCATCACTTCGGGGCCTCAGGTGAGTGGGAGCCCTAGGTGGGGCCCTTGTGAGCCATCCAGCCCCTGCCCCCTTGTGAGGCCGAAGGGGTGGCCCCAAGCTGCTGTGAGCCGGTGGTGGGGAGGGGGTGTTGTTACAGAGCCTTAGGCCCCACCCAGGACAATAGAATCAGAACCTGCCGTTTAAAAACTTATCTTTAACTCACTTTGAAATAATTTTAAGTTTACATTAAATTTGCAAAGTACAGAGCTTTTGTGTGTCCTTCGCCCGGCTCCCCAGTGTGAACTTCTTGGTTAACCACCTATGACCAGCTAGGCCACGGATGGCACTTGTCAGTGCAGTGTCCACCAGGACACACGCCATTCCTTGTTAGAATTGTGTCATTGGTGAGGACACCCCAAGAGTGGCCTCGTGTACCCAAGGGCGCTGCATCGGTTGGTGTGCCGATGTGTCTCATTCCTGTTTACCTGGTCTAGGGTGTCTGCCAGGATGTCTCCTTGATTAAGGTATCTTGGGGGGGGTGGTATTTTGAGATGGTGTAAACATCCTATTTCTAGTTTGTTTGCCCCCTAATGTGATAGTTCTTCCCGGTGCAGTTATTGTGATTTTCTGTGGAATTCTGCCCAAAGGAAGAGTTCTTCCCCCACTTATTTACCGTATCGTTACACAAATAACACGTTATACATTTTTTACCAACTTCACAATCTCCTCCTGCACATTATTTTCCTAGGTATGCTGTGACGTTGTATGTGGGGACACGTTATTTGTGGAAAATATGGTACGTCATCATTTATTCTGTGGGTCAGTTTATTGTCATTTATTTTGTACTCACAGTGCCTCAGATGTGGACGCTCCTCTGGGCGGCTTGACTTGCCTGTCCCTGTGGAACCTGCCTGCTTTCAGACCCCAGGAGGCCTTTGCGCTCATGTTGTGGTTCCCTGCTCTAGCCTTGGAATCAGTGCTTCTCCAGGGAGCCCACTCCTTACTGAGGATGGTGTGCAGGCCAGGATCCTGGTGCTCAGTGCTCCAGGATGTTAGTACCTCTCAGCCAAAGCCAAGGCAGGCCCTTCCGGACGATCCACATGCCGCCCACTGCACGAGGTGCGGCCAGGTCCGCCGGATGACTCCCTCGTGAAGCCAGCTGAGGGATGGGCTCCGGGCTGAGGGGTGGACTTGGGGCTGTGGGCAGGCTTGGGGCTAAGGGTTAGCTCTGGGCCTGGGATGGTCTCCAGCCTTCTCCCCACTCTCATGCAGCCTCTCAGACCCCTAGGCCTCAAGCGAGCGCACTTCTTCCCCCTCCTCAAGTGAAGGCCTTCGTGTTTCAGAAGACACATCAGCTGTTTTCTCTTTGAGGTTGGGAGAAGGGATGAGTGAGTGCTGTTGTAGGAGGAACTTTCCAGAACTAGAAGTGTTGTTGAGACAAGGCCTGTCTGGGTGTTTCAGGGGTTTTCCTTTAGGAATAACAGAGCCTTTTCTTGTTAGCAAGGTTGGACGTCATGACTACGGTGTCCACCAGGGGTCTCCTTGCTGTCTCAGCCCAGGCAGGAAACTGACGGTCTGGGTTGATTGGGGGCATCTGGACTTTGAGCAGGAACCCTTATTTGCTTTTTCCTTTGACAGTAGGTCCAGAGTGACCACAGGTTGCTCACAAATGTCCATTCTGGGTGCTTTACACCACCCAGGGGCAGGGCCAGCTGGGAGGAGGCAGGCTGTGGGGGCAACCCCCCGAGCCTGTTCTGTCTCCCAAGGCAGCCCTGTGTCCTTGCTCTCTGCTGGCCCCTTTCCACAACTCCCAGTGAAGTCAGGTCAGAGGCCCAGGTGCAGAAGGCTGTGTGGCCAGTCCCCACTCCTCACTTCAGGGACCAACGTGGCTGTGCTGCATGGCCTGTGATGGGCTGACAGGTCACCTTAAGGATGCAAATTGGCGTTTGTAGGCAGGTGTTTTCGGGTGCTCTGTGCACTGACCTGTCCCAGACTGGGGAAGGGAGGATGTACAGGTTGGGGCTTCATGTGGGGCCAATCCCTCCCTTTCTGTTGCCCCCTAGGTTGTTGGTCTAGAAATGTCTGTGGGACAGTGGTAGGGGGCACAGCAAGGCCAGGTACCCAGCATGGGGCAATTGTATGGAGACTTCTGGATGTGCAGGGTCCGCTGGACAGACCCAAAGTGACCAGGGAGCGGCGAGCCCTTTGTTAGTGAGGCCCAAGGTGACCAGAAAGGGATAGTTTTGCAAATCAGATTCCTGGGCCCTGGCCTCCCAGGTCTACTGAGTCATGACAGATGACGTATGTGCACACGTGTGTGCATACATGTATGTGTATGAGTACCTGTGTGCACGTGCATTTGTGTGTGTGCATGTAGGTGTATGAGTACAAGTGTGTATGAGTGAGTGAGTGCATGTGTACTTGGATATATGTGTGCACACGTGTGTTTAGGTGTGTGTGTGCATGCAGTCACACTTGCATATGGGGAGGTTGCAGCTTGAGCCAGGACACTGTCTGAGACCCTTAGTGTCTATGTGAAGCTCCTTTTCAGGCTCCCTGAGCCCTTCTGGTCCTGACATTCCAAGAGCAGGAGGGGACTCGTCCTACCAGGGGCCATTTTCATACGCTTTGCCCCCAGGAGGTTCAGGAGCCCTCCCTCCCTACTCAGGGCTGGCGCTGATGACACACACCCTCAGGACTTAAAGGGGCAGTGCTTTTATTGAGGGTCCCATGTGTCCAGCATCCTGAGCTTGAGGAAGCTGGCCTCATGGGTGGGTAGTGGGGCCCTGGGGTGTCAGGTCCCCGGATCAGCCAGTCTCAGCTCCAGGACCCCTGGGGTGGTTTCTGGTCCCCAGGGCCTCATAGTAGGCACCAGCTGAGTAGGAGGGGGGCAAGGGCAGCCAGCAGGACCCCCCACTGGTGGTGGAGGCCAGGGGCCGCTGAGTAGCCGTACTGGGTCCTACAGGAACCTTCCAGCTTGTCCAGATTAATGGGCTCCTCCTCAGGATTTTGCGTGTGATTGCTCACCTGGGGACAGACATGGGGGTGCTCACTGCTTGCTGGTGGGAGGGGCAGGTCTGCATAGGAGGCCTGGCCTCACCTGCTCCACCACCTCGAAGACCCGCAACAGGTTGTTGGCCAAGGCACCCCTGACCTCTGTCTCTGTCCAGTTCCTCCTCAACAGCTCAGCGACCAGGTCTGGGTACTTGGAGACATCCTCCAGGCCTGCAGGCAGCCTGCGTGAGGGCAGAGAGCAGGCCTGAGGTAGCAGCCACCACTCCAGCCTGCAGAGGTAGGTGGGTGAGCAGCAGCAAGGGTGTCCTCGGGCCCCTCCAACCCCTTTGGACTAGGACACGTTCAGGGGGTGAACCTCTGCTGCAGACACATGCCTCACCCACTCACCTCAATACGCCATCATAGTCCCCACCGAAGCCCACTGCTCCAGCACCCGCTACCTTCTTGATGTGGTCCAGGTGGTCTGCCAGGGGGAGGCAGGCAGGTGTGGGCCCAGGTCCCCACCCGGCCCTTTGCTCCCACTTGGCTATGGGCCACATGCCCACTACCCACCTGCTACTTGAGAGAGGTTGGCTTCGCCTTTGCAGGACACGTAGTCGTTGTAGAAGTTCACCATCACCAAGCTGCCCGTCTGGTTCTTTTCAGGGCGGGGGGGGACTTGCTTACAGGGCAGGAAGCCAGGTCCTGTCCCTGGCACCCCTACCCCATCCCTATCTTTGTTCCCTATCCCCACCCCCTTTCTCTGCCACGAATTGTGTACCTCGTCCCCTTGCGTCATCCCTATTCCCCATTCCTGTCCCCTGGCCCCATCCCTTGTCCCCCAGGCCCTCCCCTAGCCCTTGTCCACCATCCCCATCCTCTCCATCCACACCATCCACCCCCCTGTTCCTGCCCCCATGCCTTTCCTTTCCCTGGGTGGCCGCTCACCACCAGCTGCAGCACGTCGTCAGGCACATTGCGTCGGTGTTCACATATTCTGTAGGCTGAGGAGTGGCTGAAGATGACAGGGGCTGATGACTGGCTCAGGACGGCCCGCATGGTGGCCACAGACACGTGGGCCAGGTCAACAATGATGCCCAGGCGGTTCATCTCCTTCAGCACCAGCTGCAGGAGACGGCTCAGGGTCCAGAGAGCCCGGTGCAGGCGTTCTGGGCCCAGCAGGGTGGTGTGGGGGGAGAGGTCCCTACCACACAGGGTGTTGACCCTTGAGTGACTGAGTTTGGATGCCACTGGGGCTCATCCAGTTCCATCTTGTTTAGCATTTCAGTGACCAGGGTGTTCCAGCCAAATACATCCTCCCCTCAAGAGTGTCAACTTGGGCTCCATTTTACAGATGGGAAAATTAAGGTTCCAAGTATCCTGGGTTGCTCTGCTAACAACAGCCAACTCCTTGCCCGTTGCCTTCTCTGAGGGTGGCCGTGGTCCTTTCCCCTCTCACCAGCTCCTTGCTCCCCCATACTCACCTTCCCAAACGGTGACAGGCCGTGGCTCTGGGCATTATCCTCTTCTGTGTCCACTAGCCAGTTGTCAGCCCTGGGAACAAGGTGGAGTCTAGGGGCTGTGTGGCCACTGTCTCCCCTGGCAGACATGGCATAGGCCTGGGACTCCTAGGAGGGGAGGACTGATAGGCGGGGGCCCCACCTGCCCACAGGGTGGCTCACTCACCAGGGCGTGTTGCAGTTGTGGGTGAGGGTCATGTAACGCATGCCCAAGTGGTAGAGCGTCCGCAGGACACCCAGGCTGCTATCAATGGAGTGGCCTCCCTCCACGCCAATGAGACTGGCCACCTTCCTCTCCCGGAAGGCCTGCCGGATGCCTGTGGGAGACCGGGGTGGGGGGCACTCTTGGGCCTCAGAGCTGGGCAGAGCAAGGAGTTCAGAACCTTTGAAAGGGGCAGGGGCCCTGGGACCCTTGGGCAAGGATTCAGGCCTGGGGACCCTGGGCAGGGTGGGTGTCTGGGCCCAGGACCCTTGGGTGGAGGGGAGGTCTGAGCCCAGGACTTGGATGGGGATCCAGACTTGGGACCCTTATGTGGGGCAGGGGCCGGAGACGCTTGGGCAGGGTGGAGCTCTGAGCCCAGGACTCCGGTGGGGTAGGGTCCAGGCCCAGGACCCTTAGGCAAACTGGACAAGGTCCATGCTTGGGACCCCACCTGAGCTGTTAGTGACGCACATGAAGGTCTCCGGGTACAACTGGCACATGCGGTGAATGACATCTATTTGCTCCAGTGTCCTCTTCACAGTGTCTTTGTTTTGGGTGTCACATGGAGTGTATGCAGACCAGAACTGAGGGGGAGGTAGGGGGCTAGGAGCAGCTCCAGGCTCTCCCCCCACGTGCATACAGTGTGTCAGTTCCCTCCTCTGTGGACCCCTTCCCCACCAGCCCATGTGAGTATTGGAGTCTTCCTTCAAGGGCCTGTGGCAGACATGGTTCAGGAGGTATGCTGCCACCAAGGAGGGGGAGGGGGTGCTGCACCTTAGCCAAGCCCAAGGGAAGGGACCGGTGGACCCTGGGGTGGGGCAAGGCATACCTGGCCACCCACAAAGCCAGCCCTCAGCTTGGGGATGTTGGTGTGTGTGCCGGTCAGAGTGTTCAGGTCAGCCCTCTTATCTAGCAGCTGGTTGTTGAACATATTCAGCAGCTGCCAGGGCAGGTCGTTGTGCCTGAAGGGCCATGAGGAAACTGGAGGTGAGTTAGGGCAGCAGCTTACACCCAGGGCCTGCAAGGTCCCAGGAGCCCTGCCTCTGTGCTCACCACAGCAGGGTGCCCCCCTCCCCTGTCCTGCTTCCCCCTGGGCTCAGGACTAAAGCATGGGTGACCCTGGGTCACCACACTCTCCTCTGTGATCCGAGTGTCTGACAGTTTCTACATTGAGAAGATAAATCCCCCTTGCTGGGAGGGGGCTGGGGAAAGGAGAGTCTGGCCCGCCTTTGGAGTTCTGGCAATCCTACCCTGGCCTCCCTGGCTCCCCATGCCCCTGTGCTGCCTCAGGTGGAAACTTTCCGTCCTGAGATTCGCTGTTCCTGGGGAGAGCCCTGCTCTCTGTTTCAGGCAGATCCCTATGTGCTTCTGAGGCACTGAGGTTCCCTTAGGAGATGGGTGGGGGAGAGGGAGGAGGCCTTCCATATCCCCCAGTACTGTGTGCCCTACCCTAGGCCTGGCCGTCCTCTTTGCTTGAGGCATACTCCGCGTCCTTCCACCCCTCGCCTCCTTGACGCCAGTGCCTCTCAGGCACTCCACAGAGGCACCTGCTGGGTAGTCATGCTCCTTAATGATTCAACTTGATTGATGTGAGCAGGGACAGGGCTCTGCCCCCCCAGTGCCACCAATGCCTTGCTCAGGATGGTGGGTGAGTGTGTGAACAGTGTGCTCCAGGCATCCTCCTGGTTCAGAAACCCTGTGAGGTCACTGCCTCATTACAGGGGTGGGTGGAGCCCTGGCTCTGTAGAGGGAACTTTACTCCTTTGGCCCAAGGCCACAAGGCGCCTCGTCTGGGAAACCTGTCTCCACCCCCCAGGGATAGGGTGGGGACCCTAGGAGCTACACCATGACGGAGGAGCCTCTGCTCTAGTTCTCTCTTCTCTCCTTGCCCAAATGGGGTAGGGGGCCCTCAGGTCTCCCAGAGGGACAGATGCCCTCTTGCCCGGAAGCCCCTGGTCTATACTGCAGTCTGGAGCAAAAGGGTCTGGGGCCATGATTCGGCCTCTCTCTGCCTCTGTGGGGGTCGCAGGTCCTACTCAGAGGAGTGAATCAGGATTCAGAGAGGACTAGAAAGTGCTAGAACAACAGCAAGCCACACTGCAACCAGTTATTTGTGAGAGACTGATGACTGTATCCCTGTCCTTAGCAGAGCACATAACCACTTAGAATGAAGACTCTCCTCAGCCTTCCTTATAGCTGGGTGTGACCAAGTGACTAACTTCTGTCCCATGACAGCTCCCAAAAACTGCCACTGAAAGACAGCCATTGCTCTACCTTTGTCCTTTCTTTGTCCCTTAATCCTTCCTTCTGGATGGCATGACGATGTGATGGCTGGAGCTGGTGCAGCCATCTTGAACCATAAGGTAACCACAGGAATGGTGGCCATGTCCAAGTCCCTGGCACTATGGAGTGCCATGCCAGGACTGCCCTTGGGCTTCTTTGTTATTTGGATCTCTCTAAGACAAAGCCCTGGTGGTGCAGTGGTTAAGAGTTCGGCTGCTAACCAAAAGGTTGACAGTTTGAAGCCACCAACTGCTCCTTGGGAACCTTATGGGGCAGTTCTGCTTTGTCCTATAGGGTCACTATAAGTCAGAATTTACTCAACAGCAATCGGTTTAGTTTTTTGGAACCTGCAAGAGTAGCTACTACTGACTGATCTAGCTTTTAGGTTGGGTTTGTTTCTGTCAGGCTGGTGTTAGCATTCTAGCTCTTTGGGCAATCCTGCCCCTTCGAATCCTAGCCCCTGAGCTCCTGGCTCTCTGGGCTCCCCAGCCATCTTACCTCTCATGGGGCCTCTCGACCACCCCTAGCATCTGAACTCAGATCCCCTCCCTGTGCCCAGCTGCCCCCGGGGCCCCTGGCATGAAGGGATCCCCCAACCTCTGCTCTGCAGCTGGCTTCTCAAACTGCCCTAGCTGCCCTGGGAGGCCCAGACTCCTCCTCCTGCAGCAAGGACTTCAGGGGGCACCAATGGGGCCCACCCAGGTCTTGTGGCCCCCAGAGGGGAGGAGGCGGGGGAGTAGGAGGAACTCCAGGAGAAGGAAGGAACCTGGCCTCCTCTTCTAGTGGCGGCGCTTCCCCTGAGGGCCTACAGGGGCATCCGCTCCCTACTTTTCTTACAGAGCTCTGCTCTCCAACAAAACTAGAGGGGTGAGGGTCTACCAAGTAATAGGACTGTAGCCTTGGTTGAACCTCCTGACCCTGGTGGGCCTGGTGTTTATAGGGGCGGCCAGGAAAGGCCTTGATGCTAAGTTGACCTCTCCCCCAGCACAGCCGTGATGGAGACAAGGGGTCGAAGACTGGAAGAGCCCTCCCAAGGGGATGGGGGAGGCAGTGAGGGTCTAGGGCCAGTGCGGGGGCCCTGTGAAAGGGTATTGGCTCAGATCAGGAATGGGGTGCATGGGGGAGGAGGCAGGACTCGAAACCTTGTGAGGGTGGAGGGAGGGGCACCTTGATGGACTAGCTGTGGTATTAGGACAAGGCGTCACCAGGGTTTTGGCCTGGACAGCTGAGGGTGAGGCCTCCACAGGGACACAGAGGCCTTGAGGGGCAGGTGGGGGAGCAGGTGAAACAGAAGCTTGGTTTGGTGCATTTTAAGTGAAGTGCTCATGATGTTGGAGGAGGTTGGGGTGGGCACAATTAGCAGCGTGGAGACTCCCCAGGCAGGAGCGGGGCATCCTGGCACTGAGGCTGGGGCAGGCGGTGAAGATGGAGTGAGAGAGATGCCGAGGGGCAAGGAGGGGACACCCCAGAGGAGCCTTCCCAAGTCTGCTGCATGGCGTGTCACCTGCAGCTCCCATGGAGGGGATGGAGGCCCAAGGAGGAATCGTTTGTCCAGTTCGAGGTGAACCCAGCCAGGCTCCAGTGTCCCTGTCTCCACACCCACTGGAGCCAGGAACCCTGACCAAGGGGTGCAGATGGGGCCGGGAGGTTGCCCCTGCCCAAATGCTGAAGCTTCAGGCTGCTTTCCTGCCCTGTTCCCAGCAGACCCCCCTTTGCTGAGGTTTTGGGGGCTTGAGAGACCCCATGAAAAACAGTCCCCAAGGGTAGGCCCCTGTCACCACTGGGAAGCTGAGTCCCGGTGGAGACGGCACATAGGGAAACATGGCTTGGATAGCGCTTACCCGTCGATGACGGGAGTGTCTTGCATAATCCTCTCCGCCTGCTCCCGGAACGTGTTGGCAGTACAGACAGCCACCAGGGGCCACAGCCACAAGCCACTCCACATTGCGTGTCCTGCCTGCATCCACCACACCTCAGAGCCTGTCCACCTGGCTGCCTGTGCACACAAGGACCAGATCAAGATTGTAAGGAGTCAGCTCGTGCTGGGAAGGTGTTTACAGAGGTACTTTGGCCAAGGCAATTACTGCTGACCTCTCCCTTCATATTGAGTTCAATAAGTAACCAGCTGACAGCAGGATGAGGGGGCAGGGAAGGTTCGACATGTAGGGCTGGGCATAGCTGCCAAAACAGGCAGAGGTGTAGTAAAGGCCTGGTCCTGACCTGGGGAGAGAAGCCCTAAAACTAACAAGGACCACGCGTCATTAAAAGGCCCTGAAGTGTGGGCTGTGGCAGAGCTACACGGGAGCCTTTTCAGAAGCAGCCCTGTGCCTGATTCCAGCAGACAGTAGGGCCCGACGCCACCCAGAAGGAGCCCCATCCTGGGTGGCTTTGTAGAAGGAGAGACAGGGCCAGCGCCTCAGGAAATGTGAGTGAGGGGCTCCTGCAGGCTCGGGGTGTGGAAAGTACCCCCACCACAACTTTTGTTGGTGCCAGGGCTGAGTCCTCCGTTCCTGCCAGTCACAAAAGTCCATGGGGTGGTCCTGCCTCCATCGGAAGTCAGAGTGGCATTTTAGAGGCTGAGGAGGGGCCAGCACAGTCAGGAGCAGTGAGGGTGGGTACGGGTAAAGGAGTCTAACCCCAGAACTAAAACATACTCCTTCAGATATTTCATTCCCATCTAATTCACCTGTGTGTTTGCACATAAAAATAGCTATAAATGGCCTACAATGGGGATAAAGATGTTCCATTCCAGGATGGAGTCCAAATGGCCGATGCTTGGGGCTGGTACCCCGGTTCTGGGCACAGCCCCCGGCCTCACAGGGACCCTCACCCTGGGCGACGAGGCTCCTGCACAGGCAGGCAGGATGTCAGGGTCATAGGAGAGAGTGGGCAGTCAGGGAGCCAAGGTCAGAACTGCCTCAGGGCCAGGGTCCTCTCAGCAACACACTCCCCGCCTGGGGGCTTCCAGGACCTCATGTCCAGGCTGCGCCCAGACCAGTGAACCCTGAGCCTGAGCTGGGCCAGGCCGGCATCCTGGATCCCCATGTCAGCCATGCCAGAAGCAGGCTTCAGCCATTGCTGGAGTGACGGGGAGTTGGAGGGTCTGTCTGGGAAGCCAGTAAGAGATTCGGGAGGTCCTGGGGACGTTGGCATCTCCACACAGATTCACAGGTCAGGCCTCCCAGGTCCTCAGACCACAGGGTCGTGCAGACACTCCCAAGTACACTGTCCTTTGGCCCCCTGGGCCAGGGACCATGAGTCCCCCTGGCCCACCCCCATCTCTGGGAATGGAGGTCCTATCCCACTCCAGCTCTGGGCTATTAGCTGTGTCAGGGCCTTTGAGCCTCTTTCCCCACCTGTTGGAATGGTGTCTCAAAAGGGCTGCTAGGAGGACTGAACCCCAGCGTGGGGGTCTTTGATCCAGTTCTCTCTACTGTCCCCTCCCTCCACCCACCCTCACATCCCTTGGACTCTCTGAGTCCCAACCAGGAGGGCCCAGGCATCCACACTGCGGGGCTTGGTGAGCCTCCCTGGTAAGAGGGTGATGATTTGTTCTCTGTGAGGCCTGGAGATGCAGCAGGCTTAGCCCTTCCTTTGTCCTCCCCTACCCCAACACCGCAGGCCCACAGTACACTGTCAGCACCCCCTTTGAACAAACCATGCACTGGCTTCACTGGGCTCAGCTGTGTTGAGGCCCTGGTTGGATGTGTCTTGGAGGACCTGCCTTCTTCACCATGAGACGGTCCTGTTCTGGCACTTCTCACGCTGAAATCTGTTATATCTGACATAGATAGGGCCATGTTCACTCGCTTTCCATTAATGTTTGCCTCGTTTATATTTTTCCATCTATTTACTTTCAACATTTTTTGTATTTTTGTTTTGGATTTTTTCTTTTTTTTCTTTTTTTATTGTGGTGAAAACATACACACCAAAACATCCACCAACACAGCAACTTCCACATTTACAACTCAATGACATTGACTACTTTTTTATGTTGTGCCACCTTTATTGTAAGTGAAGAAAGCAAAACGTCATTAAAAAGACAGGAAAGAAAGAAAAGATCAAAATGGATGTCAGAAGAGACTCTGAAATTTGCTTTTGAACATAGAGCAGCTAAAGTGAATGGAAGAAATGAAGTAAAAGAGCTGGACAGAAGATTTCAAAGGGCAGCTCGAGAAGACAAAGTAAAGTATTATAATGAAATAAACAGACCTAGAGTTAGAAAACCAAAAGGGAAAAACACACTCAGCATTTCTCAAGCTGAAAGAACTGAGGACAAAATTAAAGCCTCAAGTTGAAGATTCTGCAGGGAAAATATTGAACAATGCAGGAAGCATCAAAAGAAGATGGAAGGAATACCCAGAGTCACCATACCAAAAAGAATAGGTCGACATTCAGCCATTTCAGGAGGTAGCATATGATCAAGAACCAAAGGTACTGAAGGAAGAAGTCTAAGCTGTACTGAAGGCATTGGTGAAAAACAAGCCTCCAGAAATTGACGGAATACCAATTGAGATGTTTCAACAAATGAATGCTACGATGGAAGGGCTCACTCCTCTATGCCAAGAAATTTGGAAGATAGCTACCTGGCCAACTGACTGGAAGAGATCCATATTTGTGCCCATTCCAAAGAAAGGTGATCCAACAGAATGTGGAAATTATCTAACAATATCATTGTCATGGATTGAATTGTGTCCCCTAAAAATGTGTGTCAACTTAGCTAGGCCACGATTCCCAGTATTATGTGATTATCCACCATTTTATCATCCGATGTGATTTTCCTATGTGTTGTAAATCCTACCTGTAGGATGTTAATGAGGCAGGATTACAGACAGTTATGTTAATGAGTCAGGACTCAATCTACAAGATTAGACTGTGTCTTAATTCAATCTCTTCTGAGATATACAAGAGAGAAGGGAGCGGAGAGACATGGGGACGTTGTACCACCAAGAAACAAGTGCCAGGAGAATAGTGTGTCCTTTGGACCCGGGGTCCCTGCGCTGAGAAGCTACTCGACTGGGGAAGATTGATGACAAGGACCTTCCCCCAGAGCCAACAGAGAGAGAAAATCTTCCCCTGGAGCTGACACCCTGAATTTGGACTTCTAGCCTCCTAGACTGTGAGAGAACAAATTTCTCTTTGTTAAAGCCATCCACTAGTGGTATTTCTGTTATAGCAGCACTAGATAACTAAGACAATCATTAATATCACACGCAAGTAAAATTTTGCTGAAGATCATTCAAAAATGGTTGCGGCAGTACTATCGACAAGAAACTGCCAGAAATTCAAGCTGGATTCAGAAGAGGATGTGGAACCAAGGATATCATTGCTGATGTCAGATGGATCCTGGCTGAAAGCAGAGAATACCAGAAAGATGTTTACCTGTGTTTTTTTTACTACAAAAAGACATTTGACTGTGTGGATCATAACAAATTATGAATAACATTGCGAAGAATGGGAATTCCAGAACACTTAATTGTTCTCATGAGGAGCCTGTGCATAGACCAAGAGGCAGTCGTTCGAACAGAACAAGGGGATACCTCATGCTTTAAAATCAGGAAAGGTGTGTTGGGGTTGTATCCTTTCACCATACCTATTCAATCTATATGCTGAACAAATAATCTGAGAAGCTGGACTATATGAAGAACAGGGCATCAGGATTGGAGAAAAGCTCATTAACAACCTGCAATATGCAGGTGACACAACCTTGCTTGCTGAAGGCAAAGAGGACTTGAAGCACTTATTGATGAAGGTCAAAGACTATAGCCTTCAGTAAGGATTACACCTCAACATAAAGAAAACAAAAATCTTCACAGCTGGACCAGTAAGCAACATCATGATAAACAGAGAAAATATAGAAGTTGTCAAGGATTTCATTTTACTTGGATCTACAATCAATGCCCATGGAAGCAGCAGTCGAGAAATCAAACGACTCATTGCATTGGGCAGATCTGCTGCAAAAGACCTCTTTAAAGTGTTACAAAAGCAAAGATGTCACTTTGAGGACTAAAGTGTGCCATGGTATTTTCAATCGCCTGGTACGCATTAGAAAGCTGGACAATGAACAAGGAAGACCGAAGAATTGATACCTTTGAATTATGGTGTTGGTGAAGACTATTGACTATACCGTGGACTGCCAGAAAATGAACAGATGTGTCTTGGAAGAAGTACAGTCAAAATGTTTCTTAGAAGCAAGAATGGCAAGACTTCATCTTACATACTTTGGACATGTTATCAGGAGGGACCAGTCTCTGGAGAAGGACATCATGCTTGGTAAAGTAGAGCGTCAGTGAAAGAGAAGAAGACCCTCAGTTAAATGGATTGACGCAGTGGCTGCAATGATAGGCTCAAGCATAGCAATGATTGTGAGGATGGCAAAGACCAGGTAGTGTTTCATTCTACTGTACATAAGGTCGGTATGAGTTGGAATCAACTCAATGGCACCTAACAACACCATTATTGCTATCTTCATCCAAAACATTCCACCACCATTAACATAAACTCAATGCCCCCAAACAAAAACTCCCCTTTGATCCTGTCATCAAAGACCACAGCCTTCAGTATGGATTACACCTCAACATAAAGAAAACAAAAATCCTCACAACTGGACCAATACGCAATACCATGATAAACAGAGAAAAGATCGAAGTTGTCAAGGATTTCATTTTACTTGGATCCACAATCAACATTCATGGAAACAGCATCCAGGAAATCAAAAGAAGCACTGCATTGGGCAAATCTTCTGCAAAAGAACTCTTTAAAGTGCTGAAAAGCAAAGATGTCGCCTTGAAGACTAAGGTGTGCCTGACCCAATTCATGGTATTTTCAACAACATCATATACATGTGAAAGCTGGACAGTGAATAAGGAAGACCGAAGAAGAGTGACACCTTTGAATTGTGGTGTTGGTGAAGAATACTGAATATACCATTGACTGCCAAAAGAA